AGGGAGGGAGAGAGTCTGGGAGTGAGAGAGAGGGAAGGGGAGTGTGAGGGAGGGAGGGAGAGAGTCTGGGAGTGAGGGAGAGGGAGGGGAGTGTGAGGGAGGGAGGGGGACAGTATGGGAGTGAGAGAGTGAGGTGGAGTGTGAGGGAGGGGGAGAGGGAGGGTGAGTGTGAGGGAGTGAGGGAGAGGGAGGGTGTGTTAGGGAGTGAAGGGTGACTGTAAGGGAGTGAGGGAAGAGTGAATGGGGAGTGAGGGGGTGTGAGTGAGAGGAAATGTAATCTGAACTGGTGGGATTGGGCTCAGAGCAGCTGTGACCCCCACCCCACACCTACCTGTGCCTCACTGCCCCTGGGGTACTGACCCCTGACCCGTCACCCCCCTGGGGTACTGACCCCTGACCTGACTGAGCTTTGTGTTGTGCCCACAGACAGATTGGATGAGATACTGGCAGCAGCACAGCAGTCCATTGCGAATGAGAACGTCAGCGGCCAGGCTAATGTACCGAAACCACGCACTGCAGCTCGAACCTTCTACAGCGCTGAGGTTAGTCTGTCACTATTCTACTGGAACGATGAACCATGCAGCAGAGTCCAGCAGGGGAGAAAGAGAGAGAGAAAGGGACTGAATAGCCTCAGGACTGGGGTTACTTTGAGTGTCTCTCTATTTCATTCTGCCTCGCTCTGTCTCTTTATCCACTCTCTGTTTCTGTCTCTTCCTCTCCCTTTCTTTCCCTCTCTTCTCTTGTCTGAGATCCCCATCATCTAACTTTCCCAGGTCTTCCTTTTTTCTGCTCTCACTCCCTCCCTCTTCTCTCGCTCCACCCTCTCGTACCTTTATTTCTCCCTATCAATCCCTCTTCTCTCATCCTGCTGCCTCCCTCTTTTTTAAACTCTCATTCCATTCCCCCTTCTTTCCTCCCACCTTCCTTCCTTCCTTCTCTCTCCCTCTCTCTTTTACTCTCATTCCCTCCTCCCTCTCTCATCTTCCTTCCTCCCCTCTCTCCTGTCTCTCTCTAGCTGTTCAGGGTTGGCTTCTATGTTCTCTGAGCGGTGAGCGGTAATTAATTTCTTGATGAGTCAGAAAGTGATCATTTCAATCTGTCCTTCAACTGTGAATTCCGAGCCACGTGTAGCTGCTGTTTGAGACGTGGTTATGTGAAGGTTCATATTATCATGAGCAGGATGTGGGGAACTGTGTCAAGGAGCTGAAGTTAAATTGAAGTGAGCTGAGATCAATGATACTTGTTCACCTGCTGATTGTACTGTATAACAGATTTGAGGAAAGGAAGCTCTGACGCTGATTAATCAGCTCATCTGCCAAAAGCTTGGAGAAGCACAGCTGAAACCTTTTGCAATGATAGTGATGGCATGTGTGTCTCTGAATACCTGAGGCTGTAAATGTCCTGTTTAAGATTTGTGTTTGTGTGTGAGCATGGTTGTGCTTATGGGATTGAATGTGTGCATGATTGGATATGTGTATTCATGAGTGTGTATGTTTGGATATGTATGTGTGTATACATGTTTGTATATGTGTACGTGTGAGTGAGAGTATGTTTGTATATGTATTGTGTTAGTGTGCGGATGTTTGTGTGTGCGCGTATATTTGTATGTGTGTGTGTCCAAGTTTTTATATGCGTGTGCGAGTGTATGTATGTTTTTGTGTGTGTGTGTTTGTGTGAATGTGTGCATGTTTGTTTGTGTTTGTGCATGCTTGCATGTGTGTGAGAGGAAGTGTGTGCATATGTGTGTGTGTGCATGTTTGCATATGTGTGTGTGTATCCATTTTTGTATGTGTGTGTGTGTGTCCATTTTTGTATGTGTGTGTGT